AAAAAAAAAAAAAAAAAAAAAATACAAGGGCTTTCTCCTCTATAGCGCCATGTCAATGGCATTGATATCTGCAAGCTTTATTAGCAGGTAATGATATGATGCTATTATCTGACATACTGTTCACATTCACATTTCTACATGCGTGCAGGTGGGACCCCCACCCTGCCTTGGATGGTGAAGGTGGCATGGTCACAACCCCCTTAGTTCCTTTGTTCTGAGGGAGTACCGTGCTTTGTTCCTCCATGACACTGAATGTGGGGAACCACAGACTGTTTGTGGACTGTCCCTAACTAGGTTTATCTGATTCTCTCCTCGTGAACTGATTTAGGTTGAACTTTGGGGGGGGGGGGTGGTGACAGGAATACAATGTGGGTGATGGAGCATGGAATGTGCTTTTCTTTTTAACTTCTGAGTCCTCCTACTCACTACAGATACTCTCACTAAGACACTTGAACCCCGGAATAGTCTCCGTGCTTAGAACACCGTTTCTCTTCTCCTTTGGCAAAACTCATTTGGAAGTCGTAGCATCTTTGAAGCTAGCCCACGAGGTTCTGAACGTTAAGATCTGCTCCTCAATCAGCAGCAGCGAATCTTTAATTTTATTGTTCTCATTTATTTGGCTACATCTCTGAACTTTGGCTAAAACTGTAATCTGTTTTAGGCCCTGGCAGAGAGAAGGTACCTATTCATGTTTTGGGTAAGTGAAAGTGACTTCTCAGTCTGTCCTTGGCATTCCATCTGCTCAGAAGCCCCTCAACGAATGGCGAGTGAGTGAATGACACTGTGGGCAAGAGTCAATGGAATGAGTGTGCTTGGCAGTGACGACCGCTTCCCCTTTTTGGGTTGAACTGCTCTCAAAAACAAAACCCGAGACTACAGCAACAAACACTTGCCCAAGCTTCTGGATAGCAAACAGATATTGTGACTGAATGGAAAGTGTGTCAAAGCTGTATTTCTCCACCAATGACCACGTGAAAGCCTGATATGCTGAGAGCGTCCTCCTATAAGCGGAGCTCACTGGCCCATCATGCACGTCTCTGTAATTTTCAATAATTTAAAGGAAACATTAATCTGGTACAGTAAGGCCAAATGATTTTTTAGATGACTCTTCTACTTAGCTCTTTTGAGGCTGGTGGCGGCTTGGGCTCCTGTTTCCACCAACCTTTCACCATAAATCTTGGTTGAAATGATAAAACCTCCTTGGAGTGCCATCTCCTCACCTATCCCTTGAGGACATCGGTCCTTTTCACTGAACTGCTCTGTGGATCCAAGTGTCCTGAGCCTGAGAGCTAGGTGGGGAAAGAACACAATGTCCTGATGCTGCAAGACATTGTTGAAGGAGCTGGTTACATCGAATCTGGAATTATTTGCACCTCTGCAAGCAAAAGGCATTTGCTACAAATTCTGTGCTTCTCTATGCCAAGGCTAATTCAGGGTAAAGACCAGCGATGCCAGTGGATACTGTAACCCTGTGACCTCATACCTTCCCAGAGAGGGGCATGAAAACAGAGATGAGCACTTGGTCTGGCTTCAGGCTCGCATCTGGTAGTCCGGCAAGAAAGCGATCATCCAGAGGGATTTGCTGGGCTCCTTCTGCCAAAGCAAAAGCATTTCATCAAAGGCCTATACAACTGTAGATCTTTTCTTGATAATATCCAGTGGTATTCCTATTCTAAAAACAGGTTCCAAGCTGGGGGGTGGCGCATGCCTTTAATCCCAGTACTCAGCAAACAGAGCCAGGCAGATCTCTGTGAGTTCAAGGCCAGCCTGGGCTACCAAGTGAGTTCCAGGAAAGGTGGATCTCTGTGAGTTCAAGGCCATCCTGGGCTACCAAGTGAGTTCCAGGAAAGGTGCAAAGCTACACAGAGAAACCCTGTCTCGAAAAACAAAACAAAACATCTAAAGTGGAAATTAAATGGAAAAATAGCTACCTGAAACTCATGCAACCCCATGATCTGATTCTCACCTGGTAATGACAGCCTTCTCCCTGTAGTGGCAGGGTCATCCAGTGTGTGGGAAACATTGCCCATCTCACAGTGTGTGACTTAGCGGGAGAACATCCTGAATCAGTGTGTACATGTGTTCACAGAGCCAGACGATGTTTGTGGGGTGGGCAGAGCACACATGAATGAGCGAGGGTGAGGACTTCAAATGTCTGAAGGCATATGGTAAGCATGCGGACATCTTTTGTGAAGACAGGGATATTAGTAGATGAAATATGGATAATGGTAGTCATGTCCCTCAACACATGAAATAACAACAAACTCATGTGATTATTTCAAACCCAAATCCTAAAACACAGACCCAGAAATAAACATCACACTTCTAGAGAAAGCCACCTGGGATAAGGTGACATATTTCCTTGTGGCATTTTGGGAACTCTTTGTGGGGGTGGTCTTCTTCCTGAGCCTGGGTGAGGATGAATCTTTGTCCTTTGAAGGTGGGTGTGATCTGTGCCCAGAGGTAACAGACATTCTGGAGAAGGATTGATGGAAAGGGTGTTGGCTCAAATTAACGAATACATTTTCTGATCAAAAGTCAAGTAAAAATAGACTGATTTTGATTGTGTAATGTGTGACCCAGGAAGAGCTTTCTTTGTCTCACCACATGGGGACTACTTCACTGTCCTGTCCTTCTGGAACCTCCCTTTTAAATAAGTTTATTCGACAAGGTGAGCGTTAATGATGATTTGTGTAGTAGCCCTTGACATCACAAAGGGTAAGCATGTGATGGCCATGGATCCTCTCCTGTGGATTCTGCTATAGAATTTCCCACGACAGGACTCATGTGGCACTGGTGTTCCAGCCCAATGGTAGAGTGTTTGCTTAGCATACTCAAGGCTCTGAGTTTGATCTAACACGCGCGTGCGCAAACACACACACATACACACAGTGCAAATACACATGCATGCAGTGCACACACACACACATACACATATGCACACAGTACACACACACATGCATGCAGTGCACACACACACATACACATATGCACACAGTACACACACACATGCATGAGTGCACACACATAAACACACACACACACACACACACACATACACGCTCGTGCGCATACAGTGCACACACACATGCATACAGTGCCCGCAGTGTTATGAGCTAGTAAGAAATACAAGTTTGGCTCCTGTCCTAGTCTCTGACAGGAGCACTAGAGCCCCGGGCAGGAGAGCTAGGAGACTGTCCTGCTTCAGTGTTTGCCTTTCGGTTCTTTTTGATGATAAAGAACTCTTGGGCCTGTGTGATTTCCTGAGAGGTAGGGGCATCTGACATCTAAACTCCCTGGGATTTCCTGCATGAGGGAAGCATCTTTCTCACTGATGAAGTGACTCTTGGTGGGCACTTGAATGGCTTCAGGATGGGAGCTGGTTGCCAGGGGAACCAACCACATGATGAGAAGATTGATACTTTAGCAAACACCAGTTGGGTCCTCAACCACATCTACCATGAGGTTCTAAAGACTGGGTCCAGATGACGGAACATGTGGAGGTATCTGGACGGTGGTTGGCTTGGAGAGAACTTAGCAGCTCTGTGTCCTTTCCCATGAGTACCGCCCTGTGATGTCTTCACCCAGGGCTCACGAGTAACCTTTGACATATATAATATCCCATACAGTAAATGGGCAAACACAGTTGTGGTGGTTTGAAAGAAAATGGTCCCCAGCATTACTGGGAGGTGTGACTGTGTTGGGGTAGGTGTGGACTTGTTGAAGGAAGTGTGTCACTGTGGGGGCGGGCTTTGAGGTCTCTTTTGCTCAAGTTTCACTCAGTTTGACCCACAGTCCACTTCCTGTTGCCTTTTGATCGAGATGTAGCCAGCACCCTGTCTGCCTGCACACCACCATGCTCCCCACCATGATGATAATGGACTGAACCTCTGAACTGAAAGCCACTACCTCAATTCAATGTTTTCCTGTGTAAAGGTTGCTGTGGTCACGGTGTCCCTTCACAGAAACCCTAACTAAGATGATAGTAAAGCGCATGCCTGAGTTTTGGGAGCCAAGGTAGCAAAATAATAGACCCAAAGGGTGGGGTCATGGAAACCCTGATTTTGGTCAGAAGTTCCAGAGACCCAGTTTGTGGTTGGGGTCTGAAGTGGGGACAGTCTTGCAATATGAGTCCTCATCATGTGGAATGTGACCCTAAGTCAGGGTAGACTCAGAATCAAGGTGTTCCTAAAGGGTTGTCTCTTATTGATTACAGATCCTATCAGGTTGACAATTAATAATATCTCACACAATCAGAGAGTAAATCAAGTGGAGATGGATCTATTGACAATTCTCGATTGCTAGGAGGGTGTCATTTTGCTGTCTTCCCGATGCGTGTGCATCTAGGTCTTCCCACAACAAAATGAGACATCAGAACCCTGTCAAATGGTGTGAACGATGAGTTCCTATCACCCCACATCTCTGTGCTCAGTGTCTGGATTACTCATCTGTGCCTAGAAGGGAACTCAGTAACTCACCTGTTGACGCAACATTGAGGATGCAGTTGCCTACACCCAAAATAGGGTTGAGGTCAGAGGTCGGCAGTCTGCTGATAATATGACCACCTAAGGACTAAAAGAAATACTAATAAGCAACCCAGAGTTTTTGTTGTGAATTAGACAGAGGAGGACATTTCTTTTCAGGATAATTCAGCCATTAGAATAAAACATGTCAGTATGGCTCCAAGTTTTTCTTGCAAATTCTGAAATGTTTAAAGCAATGACTTATTCTTTTATTTTAATTATTTAGAAAAAGAAAGGAAGAAGGAAAGAAAGAAAGAGGGAAGGCAGTAAAAACCACCTCAGTTAGGAAAATCAAGCTGTGATTTAAGCATGAGGTCACTATGCTGCAGTTAATGCATTGTAGCTTGCATGACGGCAGACAGGAAATGGTTAAACAAAGCCACACAGATTGCTTATAAGTATTGGTGGGAGGGTGGGGCTATGAGTGTGGGGGCCAGAGAAGTGTGTTTGGGGCGATGAAGTTGTTGAGACCTCGAGTGTTTGAAGGAGGGGACCCGCTAGCACCTGGAGACAAGCGGCATCTGCAGGGTGAAAAAAAAAAAAAAAAAAAGTCTCCTTCCAGCCAAGCCTTATGGATCCCTTCCTGGCTGGTAGCATAATGAGAGATTCTGGTGAGAGACACCACATGGGAAATGTGGCCTGGGGGTAGATCCCTGTGCTCTGAGCAATCTGCCTCCCAGAAAAAAACACTACTGATGGTTCCACCAGTAAGAACACACGTCAGGTGGTGAACCACAGATGGGATGACCAATAAGGACACTGCAGGCACTCCAAATCAGGCAAATCAGAACATTAACATTAGGAGATTAATAATTAAGACATCCAAAACACAAATCCACTGTGGTAGTTTGGATGGACATGGCCCCATAGCTTCACAGGGAGTGGCACTGTTAGGAAGTGGGCCATGTTGGAGTAGGCGTGGCTTTGTTAGAGGAAGTGTGTCACTGGGGGTGGGCTTTGAGGTCTCAGAAGCTCATGCCAGGCCTAGTGGCTCGCTGTCTCTTCCTGCTGCCTGTGGATCCAGATGTAGAACTCTCAGCTACCTCTCCAGCACCATGTCTGCCTGCATGCTGCCATGCTTCCCGCCATGATGATAATGGACTGAACCTCTGAACTGTAAGCCAGCCCCAATTGAATGTTTTCCTTATAAGAGTTGCCGTGGTCATGGTGTCTCTTCCTAGCAATAAAATACTAACTAATACATTCACAGTCATCAGAGAAGATTTAGATTGGACTGAAGAAACAGTCTACTAGTTCTTTTACTGTTATGCTGGGTATCAAACCCAGGACCTTGCACACACTAAGTGGATATTCTATCACTGAGCTCTCCCTAGCTTTCATGTAGAGCGATTGAGGGCCATCAATGATAACTCTGCTCCACATTACTTACTTACTGTTGATGGTCATTCATGTGGCTACTGTATTTATAGTTAATATTTTAGTCTGCAAATTATAGAGGTAGTATGAAACCACAGAAGATGTTGAGCAGACTGTGTGGCTCTCATTCACATCTGTGACCAGGTTAATTGTTTTCAACAAACCCATCTTTATAAGGCAACTAGTCCAAAAACCTCTTTGGGGGCTTTTAAAGACAGAAGCTTCTGGATCGGACAGACAAATCCTCAACAGAAAATCACAGACAGTGTAAAATCATGGGTGAATGAACCAGGAGACGTCATCCCTGCATTTAACCTGGCCATTTAAGTGGCTTACTCTGCAGGGGTCTGAAGTAGGTAACCACTCATTCAGCCACGTGGAAAACAGGTGGGTACAGCCAGAAACGGAAATAGTGACTAAGGCCATCTTTCCTCCTTAAAGAACCCCACCCAGAGGAAGGTGCAGAGAACCTACAGCCATGTTCCTGATCTGCTGCCCAGCCAGGGTCTTCAGATGCTTCAGGAGAGCACGGTACATCTGTGTCCTCTCCTCAGGGAGCCTGGAGACCACATCTGCCAAGACGTCCTTTACCTGGGTCAGGCTGAGGCCAGCGCCCAGTGTCAGCCCTGAAAATGAGATGGCTTTGTTAATATTCTGTAAGCTTGGAAATGATGGAGAGATGGAAAGATGGCCAGAGTTATGATGCTGCCTTTTTCACTCATGAGTATTCCCCATGTTCATTAGACAATCTCACAAATCCAAGGAGACACAAGAGCAAAAGCAGCACATGACCCCTGAAAAGCAACCAAAACCTTCAGGGCAGTTCACAGCTCTGCTATCAGGACATCCCTCACCTCTCTGCGGCCTCTCCTGCTCCTGCTCTGTCCCAGCATCAGGCACTATTTTCTGTCTTTGGTGTTTGTCCGTGAGGTCTTCACCTTCTCAACCAGTGGCTGCCCATCTACCTTTGGTCTCAAGTTGCAGTTTGGTTGGACTGCCCTGTTACCTGCCTTTCTAACATTATGTGTCTCTCTTGGGCAGTACTGGTCATAGCTGAAACCTTTCATGTAGTTTGTGTGACGTCTGCCTTCACCACCTGATGATAAGCCTCATCACACAGGGTGAAGACCTGCTGTAGACCACTGTATCTCCGATGCCTTGCATAACCCTTGTTTTCCTGGTTTGCTTCAAACCCTTCCCATCTAAAAGTTGAACTGGAATTCCATTCCTTTGCCAACGTGCTCCCTCTAATTTTTTTCTCACATTTTGTGTGTGTGTGTGTGTGTGTGTGTGTGTGTGTGTGTGTGTGTGTGTGCATCTGTGCTGGCATATGTGTGCAACATGCATTCATGTAGAGGCCCAGGGTGGATTTTAGGAATGTCTTCTGTCAGTCTTCCTCCTTATTCATTGAGGCAGGGTCTCTCAATCAAACTCAGAGCTTGCTAATGTAGATAGTCCTGGAAGCCACCTTGCTCTGGGGCTCATCTGTCTCTGCCTTCCAAAGCTGGAATGACAGGCAGCCCATCACACCCACTCAGCATTTATGTTCCTGGGAATCCAAACTCTGGTCCTCAGGCTTGTGTGGCAAGTGCCTCAACCACTGAGCTGTCTCCCCAGCCCTGTTCTTCTCATTTCTATTATTTACTACTAAACCTGTATCTGTTCTTATGTGACCAGGGTTCTAATCATTCCCTAGTTGAACCATTATCCTGAAAGACACTATGAATAAATTCTGACCTGCTTCATTCATTAACTGTTTCTAAGCACCTACTGTGTGCAACACCTTGGACAAAGAATACAGATAAGGTCTCCTCTTAAGTCAGTGCTCAATAGGGAAAGAGATAACTAGGCAAATCATAAGTAATGTAATATCAGCTATGATAAGTGATAAAGGAAGATGTGGAAAGAGGTGTTCGCAAGCACCTCCTGGTGACGCTTCTGGTCCTTGTGAAGTGTTACCTACCAGCAGCCATGCTCAGAAAATCTCAGGAACCAGAAATGTGCAGCAGGTGCATCTCTGCTTTGTACATTACATCGTGCTTCACTCTGTGTCGGAGTCACCCACTTTCCATAGGAAAAAACTGTAATTTGTAACTGCTTACATGTCTAAGAATGCAAGTGTTTTAGGGTCGGTTTTATCAGCACACACTCAGCAGGGGGAGCTCGTGATTTAGTTTTGGCAAGCTGAATAAAAGGACTGTGGCAAGAATAACCAGCAGGAAGCTGGGTATGGCCGAACAAAGCTTGCCTGCCTCATCTGAGAAAGGAAGGCGTGCCTGCCTCATGGTGTGAATAGGTGTGGCTGGCACTTCATCTCAGGGCAGAATACCGGTCAGTAAGGTATTGTTTTGTTTGTCCAACAGGTTAACTGAGAACAAACAGCCCAGCTCAAGAGACCAAAGATTCATCTAGAAAGACAGTATTTGTTCACCTAGCCACCTCTCGACTCTTCTCCGTGGCTTTTCGTCCCTCATTGACCTCAGGATGCCAACTTACTTGACCTGTCTTCACTGGGCTGCGATTTATCATTGACTAAACAGAGATCTCTGTCATCGGAGATTACAAAGCACGGACTTATTTACAACTCAGTGGATGTTGAAAGAGCGCTTACTCCATGAGGATCTGTTCATTGGCAAGATGAAGACCGAGAGAAATAATTAAGTCCTCAGAGTCAGAGCTGTGATGTGACTGAGCGGCACCGAAGCCATCAGTGAAGACAGCAACCCTGACAGACTTGTGTGTGTATGCCTCTGTGTGTGGTCTGCAGTTTCCCAGTTGCTCTGAGGACAAGGCCTGCTGGGAACACATGGGTTAGGTAGGAGTTTCCTCAGCACAGCACATGCTTTCCTGCACAAGATGAAAAGCAGCGTGTGTGTGTGTGTGTGTGTGTGTGTGTGTGTGTGTG